GCCTAATTCCTTACCTTCCCTTAATCACTGAATGGGCGTTGCCTCAGTCAAAATGAGACCTGTTAAAGACCTTACCTTAAAAAGGCCAAAGCCTCCCATTACATCCAGGGCCATTTCTAGTCACCGTGATCTGTATCTTTCTACTGGACCCAGATGGCTCTGGAGGAGAAAGTGAGGCTGGTGACTTTGCACAGCCCTGCCTCACTTAAATCCAACTCACTTGCATGTGATGGCATCACCTCCCTGATGTTATGGTCTTCTTCGAGAACAAGGGACAAACAACAATACATATCAAGAGAAAATAAGGAAGCTCACCAAGTGCTGGGTAGCTCTCCTCTGTGAGGAGCTTACAGAAGGACATGGAAAATATTTCTGTATTTTGGAGGCCTAAAAATGAATGAATTGTAAGAGATAGAGAACTTTGTAGTTCCCCCAGTGTCTGCATACAGTAGGAGGTAAATCAATAAATCTATGACCAAGAGCAGAGAGCCAGGACTGACACTTGGGGATGATTATCTTATCTAAGTTATGGGTGGTAATAGTCTAGTTTGCATAAAATGGATGTTGGAAACTAAGAAATCATTTCAATTTTGGAAAAAAAATTTAAATGAGCCCTGCTGGCCATTTTGTTAAGCTAGACCTGCCAGAAACTTGGCTGAGACCATTTTACAAGTATTTTCATGAAGATTGATGGGATAACATCTAGCTACATTATCTTGGGTTTGAGTTATGAATTCATTAAAATGGGAGACTGTAAGTGGCCAGTACTTTAGGACAGGATCTTAAAACTACAAAGGCAAGTTAATAACTAATAGGAATGTAAATGTACCTTCAAAATGTTATATTTATTTCAGAAATGTAGAGGCAATGTGGTAGTAGATAGAGTGCTGGTGTTGAAGTCAGGAAGACCTAGGTTCAAATCTTACCTCTGAAAATTACTAATTCTGTAACCCTGGACAGGTAGCCTAGGACTTTTCTACTAAGACATAAATGGTAGGAATTTTTTTATTGTTTTGTTGTGTTTTATAATTTTTTAATCAATATCTTTTGGGGTTTTTTTACATCACCATAATTTTCCCTAGCATCTCTTCCCCTCCTCTCAGAGAGCTATTCTATATTTTTGATAGAGAAAAGGAAAATTATCAGTACAACTGATCAAAATATCAAAAAAAAAATTCTAAAAATATGTTCAGTGTACATTTGTGTACCTCCCAAATCTGCAAAGGATGGGTGAGGGGTGTTTTCTCATATCTCTTCTATTGAGCCATGTTTGTTCATTATACTTTTACAATTTATTTTTGTTGTTATTGTTTTTATGATTACATTGCTGTGTCATGGATATTGTTTTCTTGGCTCTGCTTACTTCACACAGCATCCATTTTTCCATGCTTCTCAGTATTCATTACATTCATCATTGCTTGCAAGATAATAATATTCCATTACATTTATGTACTGAAATTTGTTCAATCATTCCCAGATTGATGGGCATCTACTTTGCTTCCAATTCTTTGCTACCACAAAGAACACTGTCACACATATTTTTATGTACGTGGAAACTTTCTTCTTATCAATGACCTCTTTAGGAATCTCTGGGTCAAAAGGGACAAACTTTTTAGTCACTTTATCTGCATGATGCCAAATTGCTTTCCAAAATGGTTATACTAATTCAAAACTCCACCAACAATACACTAGTGTGCCTATCTTCACACAACTCCTTCATTGGCTGTTCCCATCTTTTGGCAAGTGTAAGAGGTGAAACTTCAGGATTTTTTATTTGCATTTCTCTTATTATTAATGATTTGGAACATTCTTTCATGTTGTTGTTGTTCAATCATTTCAGTCATGTCAAACTCTGTGAGTTTTCTTGGCAAAGATACTAGAATGGTTCGCCATTCCCTTCTCCAGCTCATTTTACAGATGAAGAAACTGGGGCAAACAGGATGAAGTGACTTGCCTAGGGTCACACAGCTAGTAAGTATCTGAGGCCAGATTTGAACTCAGGAAGCTGAGACTTCCTGACTCCCGGCCAGTGTGGCACTCTAACCACTGAGCCACCTAGCTACGCTCATATGGTTGTAAATAGCTCACAATTCTTCTTTTGAAAACTATTTATTCATAATCTTTAATCACTTATCTATTGAGAAATGACTTCTAGTTTTACATATCTGTTAATCATTTATGTATCTTGGATGTCAAATTCTTTTTAGAAAAATTGGATATGAAGATTTTTTCTGATAAAGATCTTTTGATGGAAGGGATTCCCACATCAGAGTAAAAAAAAATGCAATCCACACTCTAAGGAAATCACAAATCATTTTTTTTCAGAAACATGAACAAAAATAGTGCCAAACTTCATGTTGCAGAAACCAAGTGCTACCTGTTCATACACAGTAGCAAATATATGGAGTCATATAATTATCAACCATCATCAAGTTTGCAAAACATTAAAAATATTCTCATATTTAATCTCACATACATTCTAAATTAGTGAAGCCAAGGGAAAAAATAAAAACTCACTTTAGTTACTGGTTCTCAGTCCTACATGGGGCTAGAGGGGTAGGGAGGTAAAAGGGAAGATTTTTCACATCTCCATAAGAAAAGTCTACAGGTTTCAGCTGAGAAGCATATGCTTCATTTTATTTCTCCTGGTTATCTTCTGAATTAAATGAAGAAAACCAAATCCATACAATTGCCATGAGTGTCCCTTTATCTTTTCACTACGGGAAGATTAGCAACTAAAATTAAATGTGGCTACTTTAAAAGTATTTAACAGACCTCATTACTCACAATAATGCAACTTCAATATTGAATCTTTTTAGTGTTGATGATTTTTACATGCTTCTTTTTTGCATTTTTTTATTTCCTACAACAGTTGCTGCTTGGAAAATGGGAAAATTAGAACTGTTAAAAGTGTTCCCTCGGAGATCTACAAAAAGGGGAGGGCAGGAAGTGAACTCTAAGATTCTTTCGAACCCAAGCACCATCTTCTGCATGAAAACTTTCCTGTTTCCCCAACTGCAAATGCCCTCTCTACCTTTGTATTTAACTCGTCGGTAGATATTTGTGTTTATTCACTTTATATACACATTCACACATACATATGTTGTGCATAAAAAACACAGATGTTTGTATATACATATGTACACATGCATGTGTGTGTATGTTTGTATGTCTATACACACATGTGTATGGATAAATACTGTACATGCTCATCTACACCCATAAGAATGTAAACTCCCTGGAAAGTAAAATTGCTATATTCCATTTATGCCAGTGTCTGGCAATAGTTGGCACTTAATAAATTCTTGTCGATTGATTGATAATAAATACCCTTGTAAAAAGGGAGACCTGTAAAGGAGTTGATCCTTAAAAGCCCAAGGACTGAATCATAGACAGGATGATGAAAACAGGTGTTAAACTAATTGTAAAGATAGAGCCAGTGATCTCTTTACATGGTATGAAGAGATTCCTTGAGTGAATCGCAAAAGGAGCAACAGGATAGGATGAACAATGATGGGCGGCCCCCTCAGGTTAATTTGAGAGGTCACCTAAGTGGAAGACAAACAGGTAGGAGGGGAAAGAGTGCTTGAACCTGGGGATGAGAAGCAAATCCCTCTCTCCACCTCCAAAAATAATTTTTCTAAACATTTTCTGATATGAGCTTGAGTAGAAAAAATACAGTAGAAAGTAGAAGACCCAGATTTTTAACCGCAAGAATTCTCACTTTTTTTTTCCAAGTCCTCTTACGATATGCAATCAAGCTCCTAGGAGTCTATTTTAATACCTACATATACAGACTCTACTTTTTACCTCCTACATAAATAAGTACTCTTTTCTTTCCTTTAAGCAGAGATTCCTAATATGAGATCTGTGAACCAGTCATTTTTAATATTTGAAAATTGGATTTCAATATATTTGATTTCCTTTGTAATCTTATGTATTTTCTTTATGCATTTAAAAGCATTATTTTGAACAGGGATCCAGAGACTTCACCAGATTGTCAAAGGGGTTCCACAGCACAAAAATGATTAAAAATTCCTAATCTAGTGTTTTGGGTGGTTTTGTCCCTCCCACCTTCCAAGTTTATTCCCTTGATTGAAGCTACTGTCAGTCCTGGGATTCTTCCCAGTGAATAACCAGAGGAGACCCCAGGCATTGTTTAAACAAAAGTCTTTGGGAAGCAGGTGCTTTTAGGTGTCTTTGGTCTGCACATGAAAGAAAAATCATTGGACTAGAAGAAAAGTAAATAGAGTGGGAATGTAAGAATTGAACACTGGAGGGGTAAGAAGAAGAAAATAGTAAGAAGAAGAAGAAGGAGGAAGAGAGAAGGAAGGAAGGAAGAAGAAGAAAAAAGAAAAAAAAAGAAAGAAAAAAAAGAAAAAGAAAGAAAGAAAGAAAGAAGAAGAAGAAAGAAAGAAAAAAAGAAAGAAAGAAAAAAAGAAAGAAAGAAAGAAAGAAAGAGGAAGGAGAAGAAGGAAGAGAAAGAAAGAAAGAAAGAAAGAAAGAAGAGAGAAGAGAAGAGAGAGAAGAGAGAAGAAAAGAAAGAAAGAAAAAGAAGAAAGAAAGAAAGAAAGAAAGAAAGAAAGAAAGAAAGAAAGAAAGAAAGAAAGAAAGAAAGAAAGAAAGAAAGAAAGAAAGAAAGAAAGAAAGACCTGAATGCAGGGGACTTAAGAATAATTATGGGCTAGGGCAAACAGGAAGGCTTTTGGATGAAGGAGCACAATTCATCATCTCAAACCCAGGGAACGAGAGAATGTCATTTAAAAGGGAGAGCTCATGTGTAAAAAGCTGCTTCTTCCACCTCCTGTGGAGAGAATGAGGTTACTGGGAAAGAAGCTGAGGGAAAATGAGAAATGGGACCTGACTGAAATCTGGACAGCAGCTGTGCATGTGCTCTTGGAAGGGCCAACTGTTCAATGCTCCTGCGTCTCTTTGTATCTTAAATAATTACTTTTTTTGTTGTTGTTAGGAAAATGAGCTAAGTGCTCCCCTTTACTTACCACAGCTGTTTTCTTAGTCTCTGAGTTGGAAAAAACCGATATTCACCTGGAGGGGGAAATGACAAAACTGCAGATCATTTGAACCTGAGATCCACTATATGTACACATGGATCTTCACTTTAGCTATGACTGTTAGATAGCACAGCGAGAGCTTGGAGTTAGAAAGACCTGAGTCCAGATTCATCCTCAGACACATTACCTGTGCATCCCTGGGGAAATCAATTAACCTTTGTCAGCCTCATTTTCTTCATCTATAAAATGGGGCAAATAATAGCACCTACTTCCCAAGGTTGTTATAAGGATAAGATAATATTGGTAAAGTGCTTTGCAAACCTTAAAGTTCCATATAACTGTTACTAGTGTTAGAAATTACTCTTATTCAGTACGGCTCTATGTATACACCACACTCAAAGAAGCCCCTACCCTGCTTCCCAGTTTGCTTCTCCCTTTTTCATTCCAAAGTCACTACGACTAACCCGGCAAGTTCCCTGACTAGATGTCTTACTACAGGCATGCTTCAGAGACACGCAGGTTCAGTTCCAGACTACTACAATAAAGTGAATATTACAATAAAGCAACTCACATGAATTTTGTAGTTTTTCAAGCGTGTAATAGCACTGCGTCTAAAAAATGTACATGCCTTAATTAAAGAACACTTTACTGCTAAAAAAAAAAGTGCTAACCATCATCTGAGCCTTCTGCAAATTGTAAATTTTTTTGCTGATGGAGGGTCTTGCCCTCGATATTGATTACTGCTCACTGATCAGGGTAGTGGATGCTGAAAGTTGGGGTGGCTGTGGCAGTTTCTTAAAATAAGACAGCAATGAAGTTTGCCACATGGATTGACTCTTCCTTTCACTTGAGCTCTTAGAGGCCTCTGTAGGGTTATTAATTGGCCTAATTTCAATATTGTTGTGTCTCAGGGAATAGGGAGGCCTAAAAAAGGGAGAGAGTCGAGGAACAGTCAGAGGTCGGTGGAGCAGTCAGAACACACACAGCATTTATTGATTAAGTTTGCCGTATTATATGGCCCTGTTCCTGGCACCCCCAAAACAATTAACAATAGTAACATCAAAGATCACTGATCACAGATCACCATAACTGATATAATAATAATGCAAAAGTTTGAAATATTGTGAGAATTACCAAAATGTGATACAGAAACATGATGTGAGCACATTCTGTTGGGAAAGTGGCACCAGTAGACTTGCTTAACCCACATTGCCACAATCCTTCAATTTGTAAGGAAAAAATATATGTATCTGCAAAGCGTCATAAAGTAAAGCACAATAAAACGAGGTATGCCTGTATAAGTCTTCCATTCAATCCAAAATCATTTTTACCCTGTATTTTTTCTCCTAATATCAACTCAGAGGGATCTCTATTTGTCACCCACCCTGTGGTCATTGGCTGCTGGGGGACATAGGAGGAATTGCAACCTGGAAAAACAGAAAGTGAATGGTTTGGATATTTGGGGTAGGGGGTGGGATGGTCTTTCACTCAAAGGGGAAAAGGGGGCCAGGGAGGGGGAGGAGCTCATTTTATGTCTAGCTAGCCTGCTCATTCAGCTCCTGGAAATTTCTGTCTCAGTCCCTCATCTCCTATTGGCATCATCCACAAATGGAACCTGCAAGAGTTCTAATATACTGAGGATACAAGGTGTCAATAGGTTATTTTGTGCCAGAGCTTCAGTGTGGTTTGGCAAAGTGGATTCTTTCTGTGTTGTCTTACTCTTTTTCTGGTTTCCACCTTCTCTTTTTCCCCCAAGATCCTTCTAAGATCAAAAATCATAACTGGGAATCAGGGCAGAACCACCAGTCCAGAGATTCATTTCCTTCCCCCAAGTCTCTGCTTAATCTTATTGCAGCCAAAGGCAGGTGTGTGCATATGCATGTGTACATGTGTGTATGTATATTTATATATGTATGTTATGTGTTTGTCTATATATGGTATATACATACAGATATACTGTGTGTTCCAAAAGTCTTAGTGCAGTTCTAAGCTAGGTGGCTCAGTGGATCTGGAGTCAAGAAGACCTCGGTTCACCTCTGGATTCACACATTTACTAGCAAAGGGACCCTAGGCAAGTCACTTAAACTCTCTGCATCAGTTTCCTCATTCTGTAAAAGAGGATGAGAATAGCACCAACTCCCGGGGTTGTTGTGAGGATCAAATAAGATAATAATTGTAAACAACTTAGCACAGTACATGGTATAGTAGGCACTATATAAATATTAGTTATTATTATGTATATATACCTCAAATATATATATATATATATATATACACACACACACACACACACACACACACACACACACACACACATATGTTAGTGAGAGTGTGTGTATGTGTGTGTGTATGATGGGGTTGGTCACCTTTTCCCCAACTCCTCCTTTGATAGACCTAATAGACCTGATATGATCTACAAGTGAAAACAGGAGAGACTACAGAGCATTTCCTACTCAGTGGCCAATAAAGGGATTGTTTTGTCATCCCTAAAGTACCTGAATTGTTCACCAATATCGAGAAGCAGGCAGGGCAGCTCTGTGCATGCTCCACGATACCCAAGGCATCTAGGTGATACAGCGGATAGAGCCTGGGCTTGGAGTCAGGAAGACTTGAGTTCAAATCTAGCCCCAGACATTAGCTATGTGAGCCTGAGCAAGTCATTTAACTTCTGTTTCCCTAACTGTAAAACAGGGATAATGATAGCACCTACCTCACAGGACTGTTGTGAGGGTTAAAAGAGATAATATTTGTAAAGCACTTAGCACAGTGCCTGGCACACAGTAGGTGCTATATAAATTCTGGCTATTATTTCTACTATTAATTTTATATGCATATAAATATATCATTTATTAAATACATTCAACATACTAAAGACTAATAATTTCTAAATAATTGGTCTTTTCCGCTCACTCATGTTTTAAGATTCATCTTAAATTGTTTTATAGGAAAATAAGAAATCATTTTATGGGTAAAAGAACTTAACATTCAGAAAGTAACTGGCCTTAAAGAGAAGTCCTTTGCAAATTATAAGAAAGTTTTTTTTTTAAATCTTGCATCTTAGAGTTGGAAAGGATCTCAGAAATTATCTATTCCTCCAATTCCATATAAAAATCACCTGTGTAACATCCCAGGACGAATGTCATCTAACCACTACTTGAATATCTTCAATGACAGAAAGCTTACTTTATTTAGAAAAGTAGCTTATTCTTCTTTGGAATTGTTTATTAGCAAATTCTTCTTATAGTGAGCCAAATATGCCATATCCTAGTCTAATGCCTCATTATGCAGAGTAGATGATCCTGGGTTCATAGTACGATAGAACCACAGATCTAGAGCTGAGACCCAAGAGGTCATCGATTATAGTCCTCTTATTTTACATATGAGAAAACTGAGGCCAAGAGACTGTACGTGACTTTCCCAAGGTCACATAACTAGTAACTTTCTAAGGTTCTTGAAGGCTTTACTGGTGGAGACAAGTCCTAGCAAAATCCATCAAAGATTTTGAGTGTGGCTAATTGATACAAAGGTATAAAAATGAGGGGGAAAAAATGCATAATGAGTAATGAAAACATCCAACATGACCTACTTAAACAAGTTATTGATGTCAAAAATGGAAAGTGGATGGAAGAAAGGCCATCTGCATTAATTATAGCAACTTCTTACAAATTAACCAATGTAAATAAATTACAGTAACAAGGAGAGAGAGAACAAAAGAAGCCAAAAACCACTTTAGTCAGCAAGCATTTGACTGACTTGCCAAATGGAGGAAGAAGGCAGCCAAGGGCAACACTCATTCAAAACATAAACATATCTTACAGAGAAAGATTATAGAACGTCATAAGCAATACTCACTCATAAAGCTGTGAGATACAACGCTGGGAAAGGAAAATTTAAAGAAAGCTTGACAAAGAGATTCACCTAGGCAAAGTCATCCTGAGAACATTTAAGGATGATAATAGAAGGAGGGGAGCAAAGAAAAGATAGAAAAAATATTGGGGGGGAAAAGAAAAGATACTGGGTGGGGGCACTATTTTCATCCTAAAGGATAGTGGAGTTGCCATGTTGGCCCTCTAAAGACAATAGTCCCAGAAGTGCTTATAGAGGAAATAGAAATGGTGATGAAAAAAACAAAGATGGGAAGAATACCTAGACTCCATACACAGAATATAAAGTATACACAGCAGTCTACACCAGAATACAATAATTAGAGTGTTGAAAGTTTAATTCTTGAGGTAGCTAAAGGAAAGAAAGATTAAAAAAAGTATGGAGTAAAAAACTTTTTGATCTAATTACGACCCACAAAAACAGGTGTTAAAAATAGCATCCATGCCTACTGACCTACATGCCCACTTTTCCATCTTTATAAAAAAAATTTCCACACACACAAAGTTGATGAAGGCATTGAGAAAGAAACAGGAAAGCTTCAGAAGCAAATGATATTCTTTAGTAACTCTTTATCATCACACAATTTACTGAAAAATACAGAGAATACAAGATCCCACTGTGCTTATTCTTTGTTGACTATCAAAAATCAATTGATTTACTTGAGCAAAATAGTGCCTTAAATGCTATCCTCCAATAAGATGTCTGCCATGTGGGAACCAGAAGAAACAGGCCTCTTACCTGCAGGTGGGCAGAGCTAAACAGAGCAGGCTAGAGACAGGAGAGTCGGGAATCAAACAGAAGTTTAATTTTAAAGTGAGGGAAACAGCTTGCAAGCAAGGACACATGTGTCAGGGCCCCACCCCTATTGGAGAGGGTGGAAGGGGGGACCCAAGGTCTCAATACTTATACCAATGGCTGCGCTGTGAGCTGTAGCCCTGACAATGAGGGGTAACAGCAACAATGAGACAAGTTTGATTCATAGCAGAACTTCATGACTGGAACACAGGTAGTTATCCAAGCTTGTCTGGTGTTTGTCCAAGCTCAGAGAACACCGGGTGCTGGTCAAAGCAATACAATAATTATATGGGAGGGTGAGATCATCCAGAGGGTGAGTGCAAAGGATTGTTGTTATGCCAAGTTCTGGGCAAA